ACATAAACTTTGTGCGTGATCAAATGTCTCTACAGGTGCTTTCTGAGCTGCTATTCTGCCTCAGACTGGATGCGTCATGCGTGTCCATATTAGAGACGGGAAAAAGCGCTGTTCAGCCAAAGTTTAATAATTTCATAAAAAGAACATTTTTCCAAGTGACACATCCCTCAGAGAGACCGGGTTTCCAGACCGCTTCAGTGGGAGGAAATCTTACCGCATGCACCGTGGTTCTGCGCTGCGCTGAGAACCCCTCTACAGACCTTCAGCTCACTGTCCACCGTGGGCGCTCCGAGCCGCGCTGAACACAGTGTCCAGTATAAAGCTCTGATGTTCTGATGGGAATCAAGTTACCTCTGCGATGTGCGTATTAAAATGTCAGCTCATCCATGCGCATCAGTGTGCGTCGGGGTAATTCTTTCAAAACAACCAACATCCTTGAGTTTATCCATCAAAATACAGTCAAATGGAAATATCTGTAACCTGCCATTTAACTGTTTTGCCTTCTTGTGAAGATTGTTGCAAAGAGAAACAACTAAACTTGATTAACCCCAGAGCCACGCGCACTGCGCTGTACGTCGTGACTGTAAATGAGGGGGAAACAATTTAATTGGATCCTTTTCTTTTCAACATGGTTTAATGTAAAGTTTCATTCAGTACAAACTTTAGTTGCACCAATCTAACGAGACAGAGCCTGGATTTGTGTTCGGAACAGTTTAAACATGTTTAAAACGGAGACATGCGTGACTCGTCTAAAATTCGCACCTGCTCCGCTATTATGGAAATTAAACTAACAAGATGAATAACATGAACTTATTTTAGGCACAGACAACATCTCCCACGCGCCCGGTCGCTCGTGTACGTCAAAGTTATCTTTCATAAGAAGATAATCAATAAAACGATTTATATAACATGGATCCAGAAGTTGTAGCCCGTCTCTGCCTACAATATTTTGATATTTTTCACCCTGTTGGTGGTTTTACTGAGCAGGTGCCACTTTTGTCATACGTTTCTTTTAAAAACATGTTTAGACTGTTCAGAATACAAATCCAGGCTCTCAGAACCAGAGCGCATGTGAGAAGGTTCCTCCCACTGAAGCGAGTGTTTTCCAAACCCTGTCTCTCAGAGACTTGTCACTTAGAAAATGTTCCCTGATTATGAAACTTTGGCTGAATAGCGCTTGTTCCTGTCTCCAATGTGGCGACGCATCCCGGAGCTGAGGAGAATCCCAGAATTTGACATCCTCCAGCTCAGGAAGCGCATATGATTACGTACAAGCGTGACGCGCCAACCCGGTCTCACAGTAAGACCGGGTCGGAACTGTTCAGGTTTACGCAGACAATCTTTACATTTAGAATTAGCATACAGATGTAAAATTAATGCAGTAAAATATAAAGCATTTTATTTAAATATCCATTCATTATTTTACAAGCACAGAGAGCCGCATCAGATGGATGGAAGAGCCGCATGTGGCTCGACCCCTGTGCTAGCCTATATTGTCCCCAGCAATTTTTAAACCCCACTCAAGTGTATGGTTATTGTCCCCAGCAATTCTGAAAACAAACTGACGCCCTTGACTACTGCCACTTGTTTTGGAAAACTTGTATGATGGGGTCATTTCCTACTGAGTTTCAATCAATCAGTTGCTAAGTTAGGCAAAAGTTCCGCTCTGCAACACCACCAGGCCATTCCTGATCAGGTAGTCAGAACATTCCTAAAAATGGCCCGGAAAACGTCTGGCCCAGTCAAGTGGAGACGCAAATGCCAGGAAGTTCCTGTAGAAATACTCTGAAGTTCCAACAGTGGAAACGCACTGATGATTGGCTCAACAGAAAATTGCTCAGGCCAATGGTAGACCTACCAATAGTGCGTGGCTAGATCAAATCAAATCACATTTTATTTATAGAGCACTTTTCATGCAAAGCAAGCAGCACAAAGTGCTTAACAGATTAAAATGACCCATATAACCCACATTCCCACCCTTTCCCACACTTAAAACAAATATGACAGTTTCACCCCCCAATCCACAAACCATTCCCAGACACACACACACACACACACACACACACACACACACACACACACACACTCATACACATAATACATTAAAAGACCACAGTAAACACTAGGATGAGCTTAGATTGGACAGGTAATGAAAGACACACCATCAAGGGAGCCACCATCTGCCTCGACAGCAGCAGATCCCAAGACACCAATCCAGGGCGCCCTCGGAGGGAGGGTGGCACCCCCCCCCCCCCCCCCCCCCCCCCCCCCACACTACCTGGGCACTACCCAAGGAGCGCCCCAGCCGCCACCACCGACCACTGGTCCCAAGGCAGAGGGCTCCACAGAGGAAACACTGGAAGGATTAAAATACGTAACCTAAAATCACAAGAGCTAATACGGATAGTAAAATATCCAATAAAATGTGATTATAGAAATAAAACAACACAAATGTGTAACACAACAGTAATTAAAATAAGTAAACAAGTAAAACAAGCAATACAATAAATAGTAATCAGTTAAAAGCTAGATCGACCTGCTGAGCAAAATCTTTTGCAACTGATAAGGTTTCTTATGCTACTACTTTGTGCTTTTTGCACCATTTTATGAGTTAAAACACTAGATAAGTTTTGGCAAATTTTTATGGGATGAAATAAGAATGACAGCTACAGCTGCTTAAACCAGGATACGTCTGCATTGTGGAAACATTTTTCCAAAGTTTCCAAAACATTAACCACAAGTTGTACCATGCATTCAGTGACAGGATGCAGCGATAATTGGTGGAAGAGGAAAACAACTTACTTATTATAAACTCATTTAATGTTGTTGTAACCGTGTCGTTTTATCCGAGTGGCACACACACACACACACACACACACACACACACACACACACACACACACACACACACACACACACACACACACACACACACACACACACACACCGTCTTGGTCTTAATGCCACCTAAAGCAGCACAATGAGTCCCACAGAATCTGCTGCCTGTTTGCATCCAGTGCCTTAATTAAACCACTGAATGTTGACTTTTATTCATTTTCGCCTCAACATATTTATGATACACAAATACTTCACTCACACAGCGTTTAACTCAATCTCAGGCACCTTCAAGCAAATTAAAAGTGAGCTCGTGCATAACTATGAACACATCCAAACACACACTTATAGAAAAATAACACACAGAAACACAATACAGTTGCAAAACAGTGTGTGCCCCTGCTGTTAACACCATCTTGAGTTTGACACAGGCTTTATACATATGCAAATTCACTTCTATTTCACTGCCACTGTAATGGATGGGTGAGACCAGCAATTAGATATTGGAGAGGGAAACTGTGGTGTGGGAAAAGCAAAAGAAGACCTATATGAGTTCACACAAAGGTGTGTTTCTTTTCTTTTGTTCTTTGTGACACATGATTTTCATTCATAAATAAATGTTATGTACACCAGATATGCTGTAATAAATATATAAATGTAATGAAACCTGAGTGATTGTTTTGTTTCATTTATGAAATTGTAACAGGATCAAGGTTATGTTTAACTCAAATGAATATGACAAGAACAGCCATCTTTGCACACACTCATTACCCCGATGGGTTTTGTCTTTGTGAACCCGGTGTGTGAGAAGGGCGATGTGCCTGACGCCGTTTTAATTGGCATGGCGGTGGGCCAAACGAAGGATGGATGTCTGGGTGGAGAGAGACTTTCAGTGTCTGCTCCGTAGTTGTCGGCAGCCATCTGCCAGTGCAACAGGCTGTTGTCGGAGCCGTGAGTTGGCCCACACGTGTGTACTCATGCTTTAGTGTTTGCTCTGCTGCTTTCTGCTACGTTTATGCGTGCAAGCCTGGTGCAAGCAGCTACTGTGTACCCACGGAGTGAATCAGACTGAAACTGTTGAACATGGCTCAAATCTGTGAGTTCAAGAAAAACGTTTGAATTTCACTTTGATTCATTCTGTTTTGCTTCATTTTCTAAAGAGCATCAAGAGTGTTGATTTACAGAGTGATTGTTTAAAGGTGTGGAAGTCTGAAGAAACATGTTTAATGATTATTTCTGATTATAATCAATCGCTCTGAGTTTTTCATGCAGGTTAAAGATGAAAATGGTCTCCTAGACCTATCTCCTGCATTAGCTTCTGATAGAAAACAGAAAGTGAAACTCTAGGATTTGAAAAGCCTGATCTATGTCACACATCAATGGACTCACTCATCTTGACTCACGACAGAGAAGGCTGTTGTTGTTTCAGCTTCCAGGAAACGTCTCGGTTAACAGAAGCTTACTGTTAGCATTAGCAACTCCACCACACGGCAGAAGCTCTTCCAGTCTTGCGTTACTTGTGGAGATAAAACATCCATGTCATAGAGTTAGTGGTCGAGTCGTGTTGCTGTTATGTAATCCAAGGAAAGATGTCCAAATATATAGATACAAGACTAGAAACTCCTGCTTCTGCAGCAGCAGACTTGTCCATGCTTATCAATGATGTTTCTGGGCTTTTGTGCCCCGAGTACAGCTTGCAAGGCATTGATTCCTACCTAAGACAACTGCAAATGTATTGATTAAACAAGTTTTGTACACATTTGATTTAATTAAAATGCCTTTTTATTGTCAGACATTTTGTCTTGAAGGAAAGTGCAGGCATATAAACCATTTAGAGGAAATTCTACTTTTGAGATTCAGAGATATTTAATGCCTCGTGTCCCTTTTTGAGCAACATGTCTAGTTATGCAAAAAATCTGTTAATCAGATGACTGATTTATTAAATAGATTTTTTAAAGTAAAAAATGTCTAAATAACTGCTTAAAGTGTCCTATTCAAACATAAGATTCTGTTGAAGTTCTGAGTGTTGCGTCATCTGTCTGCTGGAGTTTCCATGAGGACACACAGATGTTTTACCGTACCATCTTTATGCCCTTCAGAGAAAACCCTCAGGTGTTAAGCTTCACACGCTGGAGTCTAACTCTCTTGTTTCTGTGATTTTACAGCTCCTGGGCTTCGTGTACGCCTGCTATGTTGTCAGTGCTATCACCGAGGAGGAAGACAGTTGTGAGTGACACACACACACACACACACACACACACACACACACACACACACACACACACACACACTTTATTGAAAAGGAGCCTTGTAACAAAGATTGTATCACATGTATCCACTCACAGATAGGAGACACACCAGAACTGGAGATCTGCCCCTTCATCTTCCTCTCCTCTCCTCCTATCACACCCCACACACTCATGGCTTCGGATCTCCCTCGTCTCCCTCCTCTGTCCTCCCCCACACCAGCTGAGGCCCCTCACTCCCTTTCTCTTGAACACCAAAGTGTCCATTTGTTCCTTCTCAACACCTCCTTCAGCCCATTTTCTCTTTTTTCCTCTTTCACATGTACACTCATTTCCTCATCTCCTCTCCTCACATTCTGTGTGATCTTATCTGTCTCTGTAAACCTGTTATTTGCCTTCTTTTATGCTCTCTGGTATTAGGATCTCACTATTTCCTTCCCTTTGTGCCCCTTGTTGTGTCACTCCAGCTGTCTAGTGCCTGAGTAGGGTGGGCGTATTGTTTTTAGACACCGGGACTGCACCTCCACCTCCGCTCTTCATCACAAACACATGCACTATCCAGTTTTGAATCTGCTCAAGCATGTAGACCTTTTCTTTCTAAGGTTCTTCCTGTTTTGCTACAAGCTCTTTATGCAAATTTGAAGTTTGGTAAAAGAAAGGAGCGTGAATAGACGTTACACTTTCCCTCTTTCATGTACCAACAAGCCGTGCGGGAAGACAGGGAGAGGGGGAGGAAGATGATGGGGAAACCAGAGACGGACACTTTGTGAAAAATGGCGGAGCGGCTGTGACCTCACCAACAGCGGGTCAGGGGTTGTGTTTGAGGTTAGCCAATCAGAGGTCAGGAAACATCTGATCTGGTCTTGGTAGGAGTCATAAATATCTGAGGGTGCTACTGTGAGTCTCCAAGTTGTGTTAGGAGGTCCACATGAGAAAGTGCCTTCGCACGTATTTATGGACAGTGAAAAGGAAGCTTTAGAGGTTTAGAGTAATTAAATAAAAAGGATTCGAACAGAACATCATGAAGATAATTTTGACTTAGCAATTAATTAGTGTTTGATACGCTCTGTGGATTTGTCTATCTGACCCACAGCCGAAAAGGTGGAAGGCTGGAGATTTTGCCTGTGTGTGTGTGTGAGGATGTGGGGGTGTTCATATGTCTGTAATCATAATTCTTAGCTAAATATCTCATGAACCACAGGGCTGACACTCCAGGAAAGTCAAAGAGGGCCCCCAAAGCTGAACCACTGATGATGAAGCACATGCTCTAACAGTTGTGATGAGGTTTCTGCAGACAGAAGACCTAACTGATGTTCCAGGGAGCGTTCAGCATCCCCACCTAGCTGCTCCATGAACAATATTTTTGTCACCCAAATAATCTTTATTATGAAGTTTCAGATGGAAGTTTTTCTTTAATAAATTTCCTTATCTTCTGGTTTTTGTGACCTGGGAGCTCCATTCGTTCCCAGCGTGAACAGCTGGGGTGTGTTTGCTGAAAAGTCATAACTTAATATCAACTATTCTGGGATGAAAATAGAAATAACAAAAGCTTGGGGAGAAAACAGAACATGGCGTGATTTTTATTGGTTTTAATTTTCCTGTAGTTTTTCCTCTGATCCCGGCTGAGTCAAAGTGAAAGGTAGCAAGATTGCTTCCCAGTGCCGGCTCTTTGTTATTGTAATCAGCCCTTTGCTTTCGTTCGCATGAGAATATTTGCTCATGCAGACACGGGTGCACACACACACACACACACACACACACACACACACACACACACACACACACACACACACACACACACACACATGCACGTAAATGCAACAAAAAAGAACCAGCTAAGGCCCTTTTCTGCTCTCATTTTCTCCTCTCATTTGATGTGCACATTAAAGCAAATCTGTGTGCTGAGTTCCCGACTGCCTCAGCGTCTCTACACCTCAGCATCGCCTTCACCGCTCCCTCGTTTGCGTCAGATCCAATTCCAGAGTTCATCACAGGTAGATGCAATATTATTGCATCAAAGTCTGGTTCTTCCGTCATTTCCTCAGCTCTGGCTTCACAGCTTTAACGAGGCATGCTTGTAAAAAGTTAGCGGCCCATGGTAACTTGTTATATCAGCCTCATTAACCACCTTGCTGGTCAATAAATCCCACAGCTGATTGAACCCTCACTAAAAGAAGAAAGGTAAAGCATCCTCAAGGGAGACAGAAAATAGGATGGAGTGAGGAGGGGAGAAGAAATGAGGAGTAGAGGGGTGTGGAGAGAGGTGTTTATCAAGAGCAAATTGAGGGGAAAAGGAGATGAGGCAATATTAAGGAGAAACAACACAAGACAAGATGAGCTGGTCGTGAATAAGGAGATAAAACAGAAATTCTTCTCACGATGTAAACTCTCCAGGAAGTACGCCGAATTATATCTGAGTGCTCAGGCCTGCTTAAAGAATAGTGGGATGAAACACACACACACACACATACACATACACACACACACACACACACACACACACACACACACACACACACACACACACACACACACATTTGCACGCCCAGAAGACATGTTGAAAAAATAATAAGCATCGTAAACCATCAGCTCAAGGTTTGACAAGGCTTTCAAGCATTATTTCTGATTCTCAGTGTGTGTGTGTGTGTGTGTGTTTGTGGGTGCTTCTTTTGATGCAGCCCGTCCCCGTCACGTTGTGAGTGAACACATTTATGTATCTGTACTTACTCATACTTATGTTTTGCATGTATTTCTGTGTTGAGGTAACTATGGCTGGCTGACTTGTTTATATTTGTATGTATGAGTTTGGTGTTCAGTTATCAGCGGCAAGCAGACGCACCGGCGGAGTGAGTGGTGGGGAAAATCCTCTTTACTAAGTAGGTCATGGAGTTAGCTGCCTAGCTCCGGGATAAGCTCACTTTAGCTTGTCTTCTAATTACTGATACCCGCCGTGCTGAGTCACAAACCCCAGAAAATCTGATGGATGGATGGATGCTGGATGGATGGATGGGTTGATGAATGGATGCTAGATGTATTCTGGATGGATGAATGAATGGATGCTGGATGGATGAATGAATGTATGATGGATGGATGGATGGATGGATGGATGGATGGAGGGATAGATGCTGGATGGATGGATGAATGGATGCTGGATGGATGGATGAATAGATGGATAGATGGATGGTTGTTGGGTGGATGGATGGATTGATGGATATGTTTATGTTTATTTATTTGGCAGACGCTTTTATCCAAAGCGACTTACAATTTATAACCTATAGGGCATGTTGTGATCTGTGGGGGAAACCGGAGTACCCGGAGGAAAGAAGAAGAAAATATCATTTCTATAGCGCCTCTCAAGATAAAAATCACGAGGCGCTTAAACCCACGCATGCATGGGGAGAACACGCAACTCCACGCAGAACGGCCGCAGCTGCGTTTCGAACTTGCAAACTTCGTGCTGCGAGGCAACAGTTCTAACCACTGCGCCACCATGCAGCCCAGGATGCTGGATGGATGATAGATAGATGGATGAATGAAAACTGGATGGATGGATGGATGGATGGATGGATGGATGGATGGATGGATGGATGGACGGATGGATGGACAGATGGTTGGATGGATGGATGGATGGATGGATGCTGGATAGATGGATGGATGAATGGATGCTGGATGGATGGATGGATGCTGGATAGATGGATGGATGGATGGATGGATAAATTGATAAATAGATGGTTGGATGCAAGATAGATAGATGGATGGATAGATTGATAGATGAAAACAAAAAGCTGACCATAGCAGAAAACATAGATAGATGTTTCTAAGTGCGTTGCCTGGACTCCCCTGCAGAAGCACAAGGAAACAATGGAGGTTGGTCAAAGAAATAGCAGTAAAAAAATGGATGCTGCTGCTCTCGAATGGTTTGAAACACTTGCAACTTGCTACAGCAATAAATGTCTGCTGGCAAAAGTAAATATAAAATAGGTTAGGTTTGGGTTTTGGGTTGCATTTCACAAACCAGAACTGGATCGTAGTCAGCATCAGAAGTTTTACTGTTATCAACCATCCAGTAGAAAAGAAGTCGCTGATGTTGACCCGAACACCCAGACAGTTTTGTTCATTCAGAAAAAAAGAGCAAGGCCCAGATAAATGGCAACTATGTATGAAAACATTTAAAAAATGCATTTTATATGAAACCGAATGGTTCCAAACGTAAAGTCTGTGAGCACACAAGCATTGTCTCTACTGCAAGACAAGGGACAAGGGTGAGAGCATATCAACTCCCCCTTGTGGTCACTGAAAGTTAAACAACCTAATTCTACAGTAACTTTACACAAAGCAATGACAAAACAAACAAAAGCATGCCTAATAAAACATTATTGGAAGTAGAACTGTTATAGCCACAGCTACACTTAGAAGATGACAGTAAATAAAACAACTGCTTTTGCACCAGTTAGCCTAGCTGCTAGAGCAAATTACAACAGTAAGTTAAAGCTCCTCCTAGCCATTAATTCAGTATTGAATCAGTGATCTATGGAATTGTTTATTATCTATCCATTGATGTTTTTCACCATGTTTCAGTCTTTGTTTTTCTCAAGGATTTTGTTTTAAAAGTGACAAACGGCTCATTAATAAAGTTCTTCCAGCAAATCTGCTTTTCTTTAAACTATTTCTGTAAAACAATACAAACTGCTGGTATGATGGATGTAATGTATTTTCTAAATAGTTTTCTATGAAACCGGTTTGCTCCAGCAGAACAATTTGCTGTGAATATGATGGTAAAATGGAAGCAAGCTTTGTTGAGTATCTATTGATTGGTCTTTGTCTGAAGCTGCCATTTTCAGTGGATGATTATTTTTAAACACACCCGGAGTTCTCATATTTAAAAAGGGCTAATCAGGTCTTCCAGTAATATACTGTCCTTGTTTAAAGTTAAAGTCCCATTAGTTGTCACACACACTGATGTGTGTGCAAAATTTGTTC